ATATATAAAATTGATTTTTGAATTGTTTTAGAAGTTATAGGTTTTTATAACCATATTACTTATACATTTTAATATGTTCGAAAAATGGGGTATATTAACTTGAGACTTTTAACTCAATTTTAGAATATTACAAATCTTCTCTTCTTATGTGAATTTCGTCCTCGAAATTCGCTTGCATCATAATTTGCTAAAGAAGTGAGGAAACTTTTGTCTCATGTTGTCCTTTTTTTCCCTTGATGCTTCTTTTTTTTATCATTGTTTCCATTTGAATTTTATACAAGGAATTTTATTACTATATAGTTCTCGGGCATCAAACCCTAATATCTTTTTAGGTTTTAGATAAGTTACTTTGCACCTCAATTTATCTTATGGAACTCTTTAATTTTCAACTATAACCTATTTCTTGAGCCATAGATGTATCAAAGCATTATATATATCGGCCATATCGATCGGTAGTGCTAATTTATAGGAAGTTTTTTCAATTCTTTCTATTATTTCAAAGGGCTCAATATATCTAGGACTCAGCTTACCTCCATGGCAAAATCTGGATATGCCTTTCATCTATTCTAAACTTCAATAACACAAATTATCGCACTTTGAATTTAGTCATTTTATTCTTTGGATCATAGTATTTTTGTTAATGATCATAGGCGGCCCTTAATCCATCTCTGATTAATATGATCTTCTTAGTAACTTGATACACTATTGGTGGACCCAATTGTTATCTTTCATCAGCCTTAAGCCAACTTAATGGGGTTCTACATTAAAATTAATATACCCCATTTTTCTTCATTGCTGAGCTCATTTCTTTTGTTTGCTCAAATTTTATAATATTACATTATAATAAGAAAAAAATTCCACAATTCTCTTTGTAGGAATTGGCCGAACTAGGCAAACTCTTGATTCGTAGTAATTAGCCAAACTAGGCCAACCCTTGACCTAGATTTGTCCTCCCTTTATCCGCACTCCAATAATATTTAAATTTTCATTCATTATTAAAGTTGAAAATTCAATTTTAAATTTTGAAAATTGAAATTTCAAGCTTTATCTTCCTTCCATGTGGGGGAAATTTATTATTAATTTCCCTTGCCTTTATTTTCTTTTGTCCTTATTTGGAGGGGCACTCTATCATGGCATTCCAACTATGGTTGTTAAACTCCACCAATATGTTTGCTTCCTTAAATTAAATTTAAAATTTACCTTATTTCGTAGTTTTTTTGAATTTCAAAATTGAGAAAATGACTTAATAGTTTAAATGTGTTTGAATGATGGACTTTTGTTGTTTGACAAAAAAATGAGAATAGGATTGGGTGCTCGATAATCTACCTACCTCTCTTTAGATCATTATTGTTGGAAGATTTAGATATCATTCTTTAGCTTGCTGACCTCTTTCTCAATCTAGCTTGACTTTTTCTCCCACCTTACTAGCATCAGTTTATAGGTTTTCTCATGTTAGAACAACAACAATAACAATGACAACAAGCTTTGATCCCACTATGTTGGGTTGGCTACATGAATACTCTTTCTCTATTATGTCCTATTAAGAGTTAAATTCTTATCTTAATCTAATAAAGACATGTCATTTCGAATATTTTATAACCAAGTCTTTTTATGTCTACCTTTACCTTTCTTAACATAAGTCAAATATAATACATCTACTTTTCTAATTGGGTCATCGGAAGTCCGCCGTTTTATGTGACCAAACCATCTAAGGCGACTCTATTTAATCTTATCTTCCACTGGAGCTACTCTAACCTTTTCACATATATGCTCATTTCGTATCCTATCTATAGGAGTAAAACCACTCATTCACCCAAGCATCCTCATATCTGCAACACTTAACTTAATATTATGCTTCTCTTTTAATGACCAATATTCTGCACCATAAAACATTACAGATCTCACCACCATCTTATAGAATTTTCTCTTAAGTTTGAGTGAGACTTTTCTATCACACAACAAGCCTGATGCAGTCCTCCACTTCAACTATCCAATTAGAATTCTACTAATAATATCCCCATCTATTTCACCATCACTTTGAATAATAGATCCAATAGATCTAAAACGTGCACTCTTATTAATGACTTGATCGCCCAAAGTCACAATCCCACACTTGATCTATTATTACTAAAATTATACTTCATATGTATGATTATACGATTGCTGTATAATTATTACATGATTGTTCGCTATCGTGTGGTTCAATGATCATTATTATCGTATGATCATATGAATATTATATAGTTATGTGGTCATTACGTGATTATGTCTTATTACAATATCGCCTGATCATCACATGGTTGAGTGATTATTGCATTATTGTGTGTGCATTATTGAATGATCACTGTATGATTGGTCAATCATTGTATATTTGAGATGATTATTGCATGAACATTTGCCTATTAGCATGTGATTTGATATGATTAGGAGATTATCATATATTCATCGCATGGTTGTGTGGTTACTATGTGATCGCATGATTGAAGTATGACTAAATTATTGCTATATGATTTTTGGACTCTAAGGTTGACCTCCATAATTCAAGTTTACCTTCAACTCCCTCTCTAGTCTTATTAAAAAGAAAAGTATCATCAGCAAAAAGCATACATCAGGGTATAACCTCTTGGAAATGTCTAGTGAGAACATCCATGACTAAAGCAAAAAGATATGGGCTTAAGGATGATCCTTAATGTAATCCAACTGAAATAGGAAAATGCTTGATCAAACACCTTGTGTTTGAAGACAAGTAACAGCTCATGCATACATATCCTTAATGATCTCCCACCTTCTCAGTTTGGACACACGAAGTAGTAAGTGGAGAATTCCAGAACCAGTACCCTGCTCGATTTCATATAATTGAGGGATATCTTGCTCGATTGCCTGTTGATGTGGGATTTGATGAGAAGGCAACGCGTGGGTGAGCAAATTCTAAGGCGATCACGGCTATTGGATGCAAATTTTGATTTGGATAGTCAAATTGAGTTTATATTGGGAGATTGGACTGAATTTGAGTCTAAATTGAACTCGATTTGAATCGATTTGAGTCGGTTTGAGTTCGATTTGATTCGATCGAGTTAATTTGACGAAATTGAACTCGAATCGAGGCTTATTTGGGTTCGGCGAGGCTCAATTGATTGCGTTCAATCGGATCTAATCGGGTTTGATTCGAGTCGAGTCAACACAAAAAATGTTTCAACAGTAGGCCACCTTGCCTATAGGGTAAGGTTGTAAGGGACATTATTAGGTTGATTGAAACTATGAGCCTAGGCCTAAGAGCAACTCACTAATAGATTAGTAAGACTCAATTTTTAAATGAAAGTAATTTTAAATATTAGACATGGATTAAGAATCTAAGTAAAAACATTGATCTTTCCTCATCCTTGAGATTGCAAGTTTTCTTTATGTGCCTTCCAATGGATACAAACCCATATCAATTAATAAGAAATCTGCCAAACTTATTTAATTAATCGTACCACCTTATCTATAATGTAAGGCTGAAAGATCCATTAGTTGTCTTTCCCCATCCTTAAGGTTGTAAGCCATGCTTGTTGGACTTTTGATTGATAAACTCTAAATCAATTAACATAATTTCGGAAGTCATCTCACTCATAAAATTAAAACTTTGGTCTTCTAATATAGTAAACCCAAACTTATATCAAGTATGATGAACCAATTCCCATACACAAGCTTATTAGTCAAATCAAACCAAATTGTGAAAACACTTCTTTATCTTGAACTAAGACTCATTGGCAAGCGATAGTTATGCAATGCCTCTAAGCTCTTGTTAGTCATCCTAGTATCTATAAATGATAAACAATTACTCTTTCTATCTCTGAACTATTCGATACAATTGGTACGATGAGCCCTTTGCCAATAAGCAAGTCGATAGTACTCTTAAAAGCACATCTTTTCCTTATACATCTACCGTAGTTTACTCGTGATACCTAAGATGTGATAATCCATAGTTACGAATCAGGCTCATTGGATGTTAAGTTTCAAAGCTCTTTGCATTGATGGATTAGATTCATTATTACACCTAGGATGATAAAATTATGAGATATTGATTGAATCAATCTCAATCCCTCAACCTTTCACCATTTAATTAAATTGACACTTAAGCACAAATCTAATTCTAAAATTGAGTATAAGTAGCCTCCTTAATTGATAAATATTCTCCTAAGAGCAGGGAGCATACTTACTTATGGGGACTTATGCCCATAAAATATCTTGACCCCATATCTAAATAAACTTCAATGTAAAATTAGGCGGAATTCGGTTAATATAAAACTAATTTGCCTGGTGGATGACTGCTCTTGAGTTTCCAATCATACACATAAGAGAGGTTTGAGGGTATGGGGTTGCTTTTTTAGAGTGATTAGATTTTTGATAAGTCCATTATTTCACTTATACCCACTCCATCATGCTATTCCAACTGTGGTGTTTAAACTCCACCAATATATTTGCTTTCTTAAATTTGATTTTTTTCCTCATTTTTTAGTTTCTTTGAATTTCAGAATTTAGAAAAATACTTCATAGTTTAAAAATTTGTTTGAATTCATGAAGGACTTTTGTTGTTTGACAAAAATATTAGAGTAGAAAATCTAGGGTTATGTACTTCATAGCGTACCCACCTCTCTTTAGATTATTTTTGTAGGAAGATTTAGATATCATTCTTTAGCTAAAGTAGTATCAATGCAGAATGTTACCCCTAACAAGCATGAATTGAAAATTGCAGTGTTTTTTATGTTGATCCTAAGTTGCTCAGCTAAGCTGAGTAGTTTTTTAATATCAGCATTTTGGCTAGAATGATATTGCTTGACGTTTTGTGTTGTATTTAAAGTAAGAAAATTATAAATTTTGTGCAATTTATTTTATTGAGGATAACTGAGCTTTAATATGTAGCAGCTTTTGGGATTTTGTTGAGTTCTGTGGTTTGGTTAAGAACTGTGGTTCTTTTTCCAAGTTTGAAAGTATCTATTTTTTGCTTATTTCTCTTGTAGCGCAATTATGCTGTGTCTCTTCCTCATAAAAGGATACCCGATGATCTTTGCCTTGTTGCAAAAAAAATGGCAGTGCCTGCTATGCCTAATGGAGAAGAGTTTCAGCCCGAAGCTGCAATTGTGAATTATTTTGGTCCAAGTATGTTTGGCTTATTTTTTCCTAGCCACAAATGCCAATTAGTGCCATCTTATTTGCGTATTTGTTAAGAGATTATAGACTCATTCTCACCACTGAACTTTTGCAATTTGAATTACTGGCATTTGCTGTATTAGTTGTAAATTTGAATTTGCGTTGGGACCTCTGTTTGTTTCCAATCCCTCAGGTGATATGCTTGGTGGCCACCTTGATGACATGGAAAAGGATTGGAGTAAACCTATTGTAAGCATCAGGTACATTCTAGGTAACCATTCTTAATGTTTGTTATATGATGAAAAACCATCTGACAAAATGTCCCTGTACTTCTACAGTCTTGGATGTAAAGCTATTTTTCTCCTAGGAGGCAAGTCTAGGGAAGACATGCCCATAGCCATGTTTTTAAGGAGTGGCGATATTGTGCTTATGGCCGGAGAGGCAAGGGAATGTTTTCATGGTCAGTTTCTGTTATATTTAGTTATGGTTTTTATTTCGATGGGTTTTCCTCGCAAATTGCAGAATGTTTGTATATTATGTAAGCTGTCATCCTTTTGACGACGCAGTGAAGCTTGTCTTTAGGCGTGTTCTAGTTGTTCATTAAAACCAAGGTTCACATGATTTATACCAACACCTGTAATTACTTCACCGTTATTACCCTTTCATATGCTGGTTACAAATTTATCATAGATTGATGTACTTTGTGCAGGGGAAATCACATTTACAGCTTCAAGGCGTAAATTACAACATGAGCACGTGGTTTAGTGAAGCATAATTAAAACGAGTACATAGTTTTGTATAGTATGGCATGCATGATATCAATACTCAAAAGGCCACCATTTTTTTTCCGAGAGTATACATAATAAATTGATTAAATGGCAATAGGAAACAATTGATGTCGGTGAAACTTTAAAAATTGCAATAATAAAAAGTTAAGGGAAAATATTTCTTGCTAGCTATACTAAAAGATTGTGATGAAGTTCTGGTATTAACAATGGTCTTAGCAGAATATTGAAAAATTCAGCTACTATGACTTTTTATTCTGCGAGTAGATGTAGTGTCAAGACCAAAGAGAAGATTAGTTACGGACTGAGCTATTGTTGGAAAAAATCATAAATCATAACTAAATAGAAGAGCGTGTTATTTAAGTGCTTTGCACATCCATCTGAATCACTAGTTCGTTAAAGTTTTACACTTAAAACCAAAGAGAAGCAAATTGTTTGTACTTTGTTAATCGTGCTGTTTAAGTCCAGTTTTGTGGCTGTAAAGAAGGGCATTAAATTAAAAATTGAAAATTATTTTAAAAGAGATTTTCTATTATTTGTGACCTTAAGAAGATGATATTACTGAAAGTCCTGTCCTGCACAAAGGTCAAAAAGGACCAAGACAAGAAAAAAGATGTGAATCACACTCGTGACTTTACTAATTTATGATCCTCGGCTTCTAGCTCTGCTTTCAGTGACATGTAAGTCGTTCTGATCATCTGCACATTTTGAGAATTGTCAAATAGGTTCATTCAGAGGTCAGGCCTGAGTGTAACATTTAGATTGCCCTTAATGTGAGTTAGAAGTCATGGGTTTGAACTAAAAGATAACTTATCTAATCAAGGAAAAGGTAAGTCCATGTACATTAGTAAGTTCCGAGATGCACCCAATTTAATTCCTTTTTCTTTACCTATAATTTCTCTCCGTGGTAATTGAAATAAGAATTGAAGGAAATGCTGAAGTCTAGTTTTTTTTAGTCATCATTTTACCAGAATAAAACCACAAGAGTTTTATGAAATTTATTGTGTAGTTTAGAATGAACCCTTTTGATTTGAATGTAGAACATTCTGTCACCTAGAATTGGAGGCATTTTTTGCATGTTATCTACATGATCAGGGTGAAATTTTGTTTATTTTTTATGGTAAAAAGAATTGAAAAATGATTCAGATTTAAGATACGCGAAGTGATAGACTTCTCATTTATATGTGGTGCCTTATGACTGATTAAACTTTGAAGTAAGCATAGTGAATTTCAGTTGCTTTGGAAAGAGTTAAATGATATGAGATGTATTCTGGCAGTTTGTTTCCTTTGCTACAGCTAAGCTTTGCCTTTGTAGTCCTAATTATGGTCTTTCGGATCCCAAATCTTATTTCCTTAGAATTCTTAACAATTAAGGTAGAGATCTATACAAAAATTCAAGGCAGAGAACTTGTAAGGACGAAAGGGCCAGGTCGTTATCCATAAAGGTGAGACTAAGCTGCTTAATGATCTCGGAACATCCAAGTTTTTAATCAAAACCACAACATTATTCTTTACTTTTTAAGCTTTATTTTATTTTACAATCTCCTAACATTAAGAACAAAAGAACCTTATGTTATAAGAGAAAAAAAAATGAGATAAAGATAAACTTCTTGTTTTCCTGATTAGTCTTTTCTGTTTTGCCATCATTTTTTTTTATTCTTGGATTTCTTAATCTGAGCGAGGCAATAATACTAATTTAATTAACCATAAGTAATGGACCAATTTCTTGGATATTGAATGTGCAGGAGTTCCAAGGATATTTTCAGACTCTGAGCATGCAGATAATGTGGATCTTTTATCTCAATTCTCTAATGAAGAAGATCTTTGTTTCAGGGAGTACATCAAGACTTCAAGGATAAATATCAACATCAGACAGGTCAATTAGATACATTGCAGAACTGATTCTCACACTGGATCTTAGAATTTACATTGTTGGAGAAGATTCTTGTTTTAGATGAAACATAAAAATGGTTATTTCAAAACAAGAAATTCTTTATTACCTTGACTTTGTTAGACATTGCTAGTTTCTATTGGGAGTAGACTGATCACTGAACCAATGTTGTCCTGAGTTGAATCTGCTGGATCTTATCCAAGTGTACCGTGTAAGAACATTGACCAATCTATGACTGGAAATGGTTCCGGCAATTCTGGCAGGTGATTTCTACGCAGGCGGAGCTAATTCTTCTGGTAGCTATCATCTTCATGCTCTCTACCTTTTCTACCTCCTCCCGAGCCCTCTCCCAGATCATCTTTGCCCGTGCAAATTCCTTTTCTGCCTGTTCTAGTTCTCTCCTTGCTAGCTCTCTCATCCTCTCAGCATAGACCCTCTCCAATGCAGCTAGCCGAACTTGTTCTGCAGCATGTTGCTTCAGAACTTGCACATTCTGCAAGTTGCTGTCAGCCTCGTTGCTAGCACTCATCTGTGGAGTTATGATGCTCATTGACAAATTCAGATCCAGCTGTGGTTGCTCAGTCTGATCCTTTGTCATGAGGAATGGCTTGCAAGCATTTGCCGGATCATCGTTGGAGATGGCTACATTGAATAGCAGCTGTAACTCTCTCTTCTCACTTTCTTCCATGAAATAATAGTGAGCTGAGAAGTAAGATGGTGAGGATTTTATATGTCTCTGTAGCCAACCTTTTTATAAGTGTTACCTTTTTCAAAATGGCCATTTGAAGTCTGATGATGAATGTTCTTTGAATAGGTTTGATTGAAATAGGTCCAAACTGAAATGTGCTCCACCTCCTGGAGCTAGATCCAATCAAGCTGCACTCAAATCATTTAATTGATCAATTATAAATCTGAGCTTGATGTGCTAGTGGATTAGGTTTTTTTTCATATTTTTTTGCTGGCCAGCTCTGATAAGCTGCAGGTTCTGTTGAGGGGTTCATGATTGCATTTGCATGTGTTGTAAGGGTTCTTTTAGCTGTGTTGAGTGCTTTTTCTGGCAGGGCTATCTTTTCTGGTCATCAGTACCAGAAATAGGCCTTTATTTACAGAATTTTATTAGACTCAGCAGTTTCTTTCGCCTTCACTTCAGATGAAAATATTTACCAAATGACAGAATCTCTGTTTTCTACAAGGCCCTCTCCGTTTCTTTTTAGCCATTTTGATAAGATGATGTTGGTATGACTCGTTTTTGCTGCAATCTACTTTGATGCGCCTTGTCGCTGTCTTTTACCATATTGTTGCAATGCTCTTTTGTTAAGGTCTTAATGGGATTGCTTGTTCATGCTAGTTCTCCATCTTCACGGCCCTTTCGCTGGGCCGCTGCCTTAACTTTATTGTAGCCAGTTGACACGGAATTTTAAATCGGTGGCTTACATTAAACACAGACTGGTTGATTTATGTTTTTATTTTACATTTTAGTGATTTATAATTAAGAGGTTAAAAAAAAATCTTTTTCGGTTTGTTTTTCTTATTAACAAATGATTAAAACTTTTTTTAAAAGGATTTTAATGTTAAATAGTTTTGTAAGTTTATATGAAATAGATTAATCTATGAAAATATTCAAGACAAGATAAAAAAATAAACAATTTTGTTATAAAATTTGAAGCTTGGAAAATTAAAAAAGATATAGAGAGATATGTTGGGAGGTTAAAGAAGCAATATGAGGTGCAAAAATTAGTTTTAAGTGATTTATATAATAGATTAGATGTTAAGGAGGGTGAAACATGTATTTATAAGTTAGCCAAGCAAATACATAGAAGTAAAATTTTAGTTCAATTAAAGTGCATATTATATTTTTTTAAGTAGAATATTCAATATTGGCTGATGTGATAGTTTGATAAAAATTTTAATCAACATTTTAATAATATGATTAATTTTAGTAACTTTAGCATCTTAAATGAATAAATATTTATTTTGATCGTCATAGTAAGGAAATGGATCTTGGAGAGGCTTAAAAAAAAATGAAATGTTGAAAAGCATTGTGGTTTGATAATATTTCATTTAGGAAATGAAGTTTTTTAGCTTGTTAAATTTTTAACATTATTTTGAAGACAATTAATATACTAGATGAGTGGAGGAGTACATTAGTTTCAATTTTTAAGAATAAATATGATGCACAAGAATGTACGAATGATAGAGGAATCAAGTTAATGTGTCATACATTAAAATTATGTTTCTCAAAATAAGTTTGGATTTAGGCCGGGTAGGTCTACTATAGAAGCAATATATTTGTTGATAGGTTTGATGGAGAAATATAGAGAGTAAGGAGGATCTACATATGATATTGATTTAGAGAAAATATTTGATAAAGTTTCAAGATAAATGCTTAGGAGAGTTCTAGAAAAGAAAGGAGTTAATGATGCTTATATTCAAGACATTAAGAATATGCATACGCAAACGGCGCCGATTTCAGCTGAATTCGCGGATCCAACGGTTTACAGGTATTATTTACGGGATTTTTACCTCTGTTTCTTCTGGATTTTATATAAATGTCAACAAATACATGATGTTTTAACCAAGTATTTTCCTATTTTAGTTGAATTATATTAAGGATTAGCTTTATGAAAAATTTTATTCATACATTGGACATTATATTTTGGATAATTTAATTTGATTGTTTACATTGCTTGTGCAATATAAATTGCCTATTTTTCTAGGTTTTTTTGCATGTCGTGTTATATTTTAGTATGAATACGATCAGAGTTTTGTGATGGTATAGATAAAATTTTTCTACTTAAAGCTTTAATAAATTTTTTAGGCTCACATAGAAATTCTAACGATTTAAGAAGTAAACTCGGGATCGTCGAGAGTCAGCATATATGCATATTATTACTTTCTTTTCCTTGTTAGGCACGTCCTTGCCTAAGGGTTCTAGCAGATCATCTGGCTTATTAGGTTGCAGTTCTGTCAAGAGGATGTTGTGCAATCTCTAGGAAAAAATATATGTTTTAAGCCCGATTTTAAAACGACTTCATAATCATTTTCTGCATTCGAGTCAATTAGCATGCATTGCATTAGATATAAATTAAAAGAGTCTAAAATTTTAATTACATTTTGCTCTCAAGCATAATTTACTTTACATAAGTGGAGGGGCCAATTAGAATTTATCTTAGATGTCGGCTCCCATTTCCTCAAAACTTAAACAACATCTCTACCCATCTTTCATAAAGAGATCGGCCACATGATTTTAAAGCGATTAGGTGGTAGTTGGCTCCCCAATCTAGGCCGGGGTAAGTCCAAATTTGCACTTCATTAGATAGGTTAATTTCACTACTTTGTAGTACCCAATTTAGATTTAGGTTATGAGGCAGATTTTTAAAATCTTAAGTCCTCACTTTCCAAAAATATAATTCCAATTTTTTTGATAAAATGCTAACTAATATAAAAACTTTCTCCTAAAATATAAAACCCAACATATGGTAGACTGAGGTTGCCTCTGAGCTTCTCAGAATTCGGCACCTCCTACTTTTGTTTCTTTGACTTGTTAAAAACTATTCAACGTTGAGCCTTCTCATTGAAAATTTCTACTTCTTTCCTTGTCTTTTACTTTGTAATCAAATGGATATGAAATCGCTACTTTAATCGAGAGTTTTCTTAGGAGTATCCCTCTTAAGATGTAATTAACTATAGGGGCAAGCCCTTATAGGGATTTGAGTACTCCAGATTAAAATAAACCTTATTTTATTCCTATAAAATAAGGAAAAAATTTTGGGAACGTAAATGTCTTTTAAAAATTCATTTATAATTTTAAATATACTTGTAAAATACAAATAATATAACATTTCACTTATTATATTCGATCTTATAAATGAGGAATTTTATAAAACCCATTCTTGTTTTTAGATGTCTTAAAGAATGTTATGTTCATCTTTTAAGATGATATAATGTTCTCCTTGTTACATCTAATCAAAAGGATGGATGAATTTTCAAAACCCTATTTCTATTTTTAAACACATTCTATATAATTGAATGTTCATCTTTTGAGATGATATGTTATTCTTTGAATTATATTTGATTATAGAAATATCATTATTTAAAATCCTATTTTGATATTGAATCAATTATAGAATATTGTGCCAACCTCCCAAGATTGTACTTTATTCTCAATGCAATATTCGATTACAAATAGGAGAATATCGAATCTGCATAGCGGTGTTAAAAATTTTCCCCCAATCCAATAATTTTGTTATAATTTTTTATAGTTTCTCCAAAATGGCACATTTATTTCTATATTTAATTAATGATGCTTCTTATATAGCTAAACTTTTGTATAAAGAAAATTATTAGAAAATGTATTGCCATTCATAATAATTTCAAATAAAGGAATTAAGATTTATTTCATACTTTTAAAAGATCTTATGAATTTTTTTGGACAACTAATAATTTCAACTCTGTATTATCCTTGAATTGATTGTCAAATAGAAGTTGTGAATAAATCCTTTGGAAATTTATTGAAGTGTTTACTAGGTAAGAAACTTAACACTTGTGGCTTGCATTTATTTCTAAGTTTGAATATAATATCACTATCTCTATGATACTTAAGATCTTATGACTTATTCATAACTCTTAGAAAGCTTGGAGCAAATACATATCTCTTGAAATTACCTTATATAAATTATATTATTAATATTGAGAATATACTAGTATATTAGGGACTTATTAAGTCATAAAAGATAACTATATTTTAAGAAAACCAAGTCAAAATTGACAAGTTTCACTTACTTCACAGCTCTTAGATATTGATAACATTATTTCAGATTGGCACTCCCCAACAATGGATGCACCATTCAAATTCCTTAATTGATGAAAAAATTAACCTCCTTCAAAAGACACTTAGATGAATAAAGCGGATCCATACAAACATGCCCCTAAACTGCTGAAGGAATACATGAACTATAATTTTATAAAGTACTTTGAGGCTTGGTGGAGTTAATGCAACATCAACATAAAGCCTAAGAACAAGATTAAAAATCAAGGCACTAAATCAAAATTATAGTTTTTTTTTTCATGCCCAACACTCCAAAAAAGTTTATGGACAACCCCTCTTCCCTTCTAAATCAATAAAGAATAATAATTTGAGGTCCTTTGATGCATAGGTAGTCACACAAATTAAAGAACTTAAGATCTTAAAGATTGTTTTATTTCAAAACAACTCTAGATATCTTATTTGGCTAAGACAATTATTTTTTCTAGTGGAAGCTTTAAATTTTATAATGATTTATTTTTTATAGTCAAATAAATAATAAATCCATATAATAGTAGTTTATTAGCTCATTAGGCTTTCCAAACTTAGCTTGGCTAAGAAAATACTTATAAATAGGATTTTATTTTATACTTTTAATTTCATTGAATAAAATTTATCTTTTGCATGTTCATATTCAATGTGAAAAGGCTTCTTGATTGCTCTACTCTTTGATAAAGCTTAGTAGCTAATCTCCTACTGCTTTTATCAGTTATTATAATTGTTCACTCCTACTCCTCTCTCCTAACACAATTTCCCTCTCATCCATGGAAGGCTCCAACAAACCTAAATCATAGCCTCCCTCAACCACATGACAACTCCAACACCTTAAAAAGTTTCCTTCATATTTCCCCAGAACCCTTACAATTTTTCAAGTCTCAAATCCCCATTAATCTTAAAATATCCTACCCAAAGGTCGCGTAGAAAGATAATTTCTAAATGTGAGCAAGAGGAATGCAAAATTCACAACTCTTTAAACACTAATTCAAACCTCACAAAAAATACCACTATTAGTTTTGCAACATCCCATACCATTGATATAGAATTCCTCATCCATTGCCTTAGTTAAGAACTTACTCTTTGAAAGCATAAAGGTTTTACCCTCAAATCTATTCAAAATCCTAAATATCCTTTTTTTTCTGCCACCATCCTAAAGAGACACCAATCAAGCTATTTTCTTCACCATTAAAGATCATATATATATTTCAACGTTACTTCTCTAATTATGTTAGTGGTAGAAATATCACTATGACTAACTCAAAGGCTCAAAGGAAAAGAATTAAATTAGGACTTCTAGATCTAAATGTCTCATATTTGAAGATTTACCACTAGAGTTTTTGTCACACTCTAGAATCTAATGTAAAAGAATTTCTTTTATTCTCATTCCTCTTCATACTATTATCTTTTTAATCTCATTCTATTCATTAATCACACCCCGAGATCTAAAGTGAAAGAATTTATTTCTTTAAATCTCGGGGTGTGACAACTTTTACCTCTTAGAACTATTCAACCTACTAGAGATTTGTGTAGAAGGGTTACTTATGAAAAATATTATGAAGAACATAAAAAAGATAATATTAAGAAGAAGCCTAATTGTAGCCTTTAGTTTATTCATCTCTAAGGAAAGATGGGAGTTGGTTTGGGCTTTAATGTCAAAACTCAATGACAAAAAAATTATCATACATAAGTTGCATAAATGTAGGTTTGATGACATGTTGGATATTGTTGGTGTAACTACAATCTTTTGCAGATTAATCTTTGAAATAAAAGGCAAATAAATAAAATAATTTTTTAAAGCTAATTATTAACTATATAAATGGATTTTTATACCTTTTTAGTTGTCAAATATGTAAAGACAATAAATGAACAATTCTTTTGAATCTTAATATTTATTTTGATGGTATTATTTTCTATTGTTTGAGTAAAGGGGCCACTTTCCTTACCTTGTGATGGTTTATGATTTTGCATGATGGGAAACTTCTCCTTAATCTAAAGAGGAGCTTATTTAAGATTTTATTCCTTCTTTAGTTTTATTATCTTGAGTGGGGCTTATTATGGGCCATGTGACATTTCAATCTACATGTGAATCTCTCAAGCCTATTAATATTGATGTGGCTTGACAGGGACGTTTGGTTTGTTATTATTATTTTTTTTTATTATTTTATGAATACTTAAAATATGTAGGATGCCATTTTTTTTTATTATTTATCATCATCAAAATAATGACCAAATTGAAATTCTTAAGGTTCAAGAACTACTAAGTGATGCTTTGTAGGTGGTAAGGGTCAAGTTCAAAATTCCTACTCAATGACCTAATTTGCATAATAGCACTATCAATAGACCTACTTGCATGAGTTCCATTAAAATTTCTACTTCCTATCAACCTGCATGCCTTAATTCAGTTGGGTTTTCAATTATTTTTTACGGTTGAACTTTTCAGCCAATGAACATCCATCCAACTTTGTATTCACTATAAGAACTATACATTTAGGTTTCGTTTAATACAACTTTATTATTATTTTTTAAAATAAAATTTAGTACAAAATTTTCTAGTCAAAAAATTTTATATATAAAAAAAAATATTTTAAAAAACAATAAAAAAACTATCCCAAACAAGACCTTAGCATTCACCTTTTTGCATTTTTGAGTTATTTGTAGTGTTGATCATATCCTATCTTTTTATTTATACACTTCAAAACAGTTCAATGATGTTTAAGGATATGCGACAAACACATGGAAAATGTTCAAAGCTACGTTATATAGTCCTTACCATCCAAATGATTCTCTTTCCTAAACGTCAACAATCAGAATTATGATATTTCAAATCCAATAACTTGCATTTTCCTCCTTTTGAGGACCCGTTTAATCAATCTTTTACATATGTAAGGACATTGAGAACCAGTTGTCAAAACAATGATTGAGGAAACGATGTAGAAACCCCTTCCAGAAAGCAGATTCTAAAAAAAAAGGAAAAAAATTAACTCAAATGAGATGTTTTGCAACAACCATAATGCATAAAACAAGTAAATCACATTACCAAACAATCCATAAAAATTCTCTAATCACTGAAGTTAAGAGAGACAAATTATATACTGAAACTTTCCAGCGATGAATCAATCAAGAAATTTCAACAATCAAAAACAACACCTTTAATCTGTAAAGCTGCAGCCACCACAGCCTACCTAATCCTTTTAATTTTCTTTCATGCATGTTTCAATTATTACGTGATGGATATATTAGTTGCTAGCTCACTTTTTATGACGGAAAAACTGAAAAAGTATATGGAAATATAAAGAGGCATGTGTAGCAGCTGATTGATTTGTTACAATCAACCATTCATCTCCCCTTCTCTGTCCTTTCTTTTTGGACAATGATTCAAGTATAATGGAGGAGAATGGCATCTAATTATTAAAAGAAAAAAAAAACTTTTGGTCCCCATAACAATGCTGAGAACTTTTTTTTCAAATAAAGATATCTGTTGCATTTGGTGGTCCCCTTAGTCCTATAGGCTGATATGGATGAAAGATTTGCTGGAATCTTCACTTTGAAGGGTAGAAAAAAGAAAAAAGCAATGTGACGTTCTAACCACCATGTAATATGGAAGTACTTGCAAGTGGTCAACAGTTCAGAAAGCTCAAACTGAGTTTGTCAGAGATAATTCAAACCATAATCATTAAAACCATCTCTGCATGTAATTTTTTTTCCTTGGCTAATAATTATACTTTAAACAGCTCATATAATACATACTTAAGGTCTTGGAATAAGTGTAGTTCTCTTTGAACACTTCCACAACAAGATAAATGATAAAAAAAGGACAACAGGCATATCAAAAAATATGAAGCACAAGGTTTACAGATCATACCTCATTTCCCTTGATTGTAAGCTACATTTTGCAGCTACATATGCTCAGCACAACCATTTAATTTAGATAAGAATTTAGGGAAATGCATTTTTCATGATTTTAATGGGAAATATCAATACAAAATACAAAGCATTTAAATAGCTGGTGCGACTTCATGGATAGAATTTGCTCTTTACAATATTTGATTCATCAATTTAAAAATTAGGACGACTAAGGCTTCGTTTGGGACAGCTTTAGTGCTGGTTTTTAAAATGACTTTTTAGTAAAAAAATTTAAATTCAATAAGTTTTTGTACAAAAAAGTTATTTTAGAAAACAAGAAGAAAGCCGTCCCAAACGAAGCCGAAAACAGGTATCTGCTGAAAGCATTACCCTTATGCCCTGGGAAGGGGTGCTGTTCTTTGCCGAGCAATCTCTTGGATCTGATCTAATGTCAGGAAAGCAGCACTGTTCTCAAAATTAGCACTTTCCATTTGTTTATGGAGCTGCACCAAGGTAATCAGTGGGAAGAAATCAACCAAAAAGAAACAATTGAAAGCCAGATAAGAGCATCATTTAGCAGAAGACAAGAGCAAGACCCAGTCCCTAGAAATTTAAATTCAGCATAACACAAGCAGAAGAACTCAAACGCGGGGAGGAAAATCTGCCAATTCATTTATTTTTTCGTTTATTCTAACATCTCTGAACCTTGAACCCACGTCCAAAGTTCTCCGTAGCCCTCACCCCACAAAACTCCACTTCCATCATTTTTAAGTCTCTTAAGAATGAAATTAGAGTTTTTTTTTTTTTAAATTGAAAAATTGAGAGAATCCCGTTTGAAAAACATGTCTTCTATGGATCTATTTGTTTTTCTGTCCTCTTAGCCGTTTGGCCACAATTTATAAATTAAGAAAATAAAAAACACTTATAATCCAAGTTTTAGTTTACATTTTTTCTGTCTCTCTACCTGTACTATTTTTACTTAAGTGTAAAAGTGCTGCTATTGCTTTGGATTGGCTCTGAAGTTTAGCAGAATTTTGTGTGGAATCAAATTGTGTCGATCAATCAAATTGTAATGTTGTCTCAGACCCCAATACCGTCAGGCAAGCTTGCTAAGGGGTTGTAGGGGGGAAGTGTCCTTCCTGCTTGGGATTCAGATGCCTTTCTCCACAAAAATTATCTTTCCGTATGGTGTTACAACGCCATTGCACCATACACTTGAGTGTTGCGGTACTATAGTCACTGGTTGGAATCCGAGATTATAGCGCTGTGGCGCTTTAGTCGACAATGCCATGGAGTTGCTTGGTGGACTAAACAATAGAGATTGTTTTCAATGGCTTAAAAGGTTTAGGCTTCAGCTAATTCATTCTTCGATTTTGAATTACCTCTATTACTATCTTAGACTAGTGTATATCCCAAAAGTGCTTTCAAGAAAATAACTACAGTTGCATCCAAATTCTTATTCAATGATGTCAATGCAAAGAAAATTCATATTATTTTATGGCAAAAAACTAACTCTTCTCAAGAAAAAAGGAGGCACTGGTATTACCTCCATCTCTACCCTTAATATTATTTGCAAATAAAAAAATATTTGAAGACTCTTCAATACCTCCAACTCATTTTCTCTTTGGTGTAATGGCTCCTCTGGGTCCATCTAGAATCAGAAAGCACGTGAACTTATCTATAGTTGGAATGGCAATCCATTGCATCCTAAATGCATTATTGGCTCTCTTTTTATCTTGGAGATGGTTCATCCACATCTTTTTTTAATGACCACTAAATAAATGGGAGGTCCGAAATAGATATTATGGCTGTTCATGATTATTGTTTGTGTAATCTCCCAGCTGATGCTAAAGCTTAACACTAATATCACCAATGGGTCTTGGCTGTTATCGGATCTAGTCTAAGAAGTTTACTCTTTAACTATATAAAGGAGACATTACAATTTCTACTGGTAGTGATAAATTACTATGAAAAGGGAAATATTCTTTTTTATATTTTTGAAGTTACAAACGTCCTTTTTTGTGAACAAATTAGATGACCCTTGGTCCAGATGCAATTGGTTCAAAGGTTGTTTTTATTAAACTCCCTCACTATAATTAGATGGTATGCTTTCGAGAACTTAAAATCATAAACATTTTAGGAACAAGAGATAAAAATATCCAAAGTAATTGTGTGTTTTGTAATTTGGAATATGAAAATCATACTCTGTTTTGGGAGTATGCACGTTATGTGGCAGGTTAGGAAACACATTTCAAAGGGGCAATTTTTTCTCTTCGAAGCATCCCAGCAACCTATTTTAGAAGCTAGCTCTTTCCAACGACATTATATTACAAAGAGGTTTTACTGTCTTATTGTGGGTGCACTAGTTTGCAGCATTTGGCGTGAGGTTGCACAGAAAGTACAATTCCTATCAAGTTTTTCTTTTTCTCAAAATTAGGCTTTAGTCAGCCCTATGATCACAAATAGAAAAAAGAAAGACTGGCTTTCCAAGGAGTCTAAATTACTTGATTCTTGGAGCCTTTGTGACGGTCTAATCAGGCGAATTTTAAGTTCTATGAATTTTGAATTTCAACTTTTTTTCTATTTGGTTGTTTTCTCTTCTTGCTCTAGGTTTGCTGCTCTTGCTATCTGCAAAATATTACATAGATTTTTCTCTGTGCTTTCTCCGTTGAAAAGTTTCTGTGGTTGTACTTAGTATTATTTTGGGTGTGCATTGTGATGCTTCGGATCTCTTTTTATTGCCAATGGTATCTGAACATTACCTATTAGTCATTCATTCAAAGAGTATTTTTGCGACTCGTGGATACTTCTCTCTGATTTCTCGTTTTCAATTTTTTTTCTCTAAGAGCACTATTCAATATTTTGGCCAAGCTTCTGTTGCCTACGATTTTCCTTTCTCCACTGATGTTTTTTTTTTTTTTTTTTTCTCATGGAGTTGCAATCAATGGGGGAGAGTTTTGGGCATAGGTTACGACGTGATACTAATATTTCTCAAAAGCAATTTGGATTCATGCCAGGTAAGCCTACGATGGAAGCAATACATTGAGAGGTTTTATGGAAATATACAATAAGGAGGATCTACATACAATATTTATTGATTTAGAGAAAGCATGCGATGAAGTTCAAAGAGAAGTGCAATGGAGAGTTCTAGGAAAGAAAGGGGTTAATAATGCTAATATTCAAGTCATTAAGGATATGTATATGTATGCATGAGCTATTACTTGTGTTCAAACACAAAGGTGGTTTGACCAAGTATTTTCCTACTTCAGTTGTATTAAATCAAGGATCAAGTTTATGCCCATATCTTTTTTGCTTTAGTATGGATGTTCTTAATAGATATTTGCAAGAGGATGTACCCTGGTGTATGATTTTTGCTGATGATATCTTCTTGTTGATAAGACTACATGAGTTTAAGGTAAACTTGAATTATGGAGATCGACCTTAGAGTCTAAAAGTTTTTGTTTTAGGGGATCTAAAACCAAATACATGGAATGTAACTTTACTAGTAATAGATCTAGTGGGGGATTATGACTTTGGGCGATCAAATCATTAATAAGAGTACATGTTTTAGATATCTCGGGTCTATTGTTCAAAGTGATTGTGAAATAGATGGGTGTTGACACCAAAAATATATCTAACGAGCAAAACAAACAAGTCCAATGAGTTCGACGATTGTTCAATGATGCGCTGTATGAATAAGATTGACATACGCCTATGGCTTGCAAAATCCCTCATAATGACTTCCGATCATGAAATAGAGTGCAATTGCGATTGGAACATCAAAATTAGCCAAATAAAACCTCTCACAGGAAAATCAAGCGAATGCGGTGGAAAATATTAAATTAAATGCACGATGATACAAGAGGTTGCCCGAATGACTTCTGTTTGCCAAACAGACTATGTGAGCACTTCTAGAATGTCCCAAAACATAAGAAAAGAGATCCATATTGTCTGGTCCCTATAATTTTAGGAAAATAATTAAATATAAATTTAAAAAAAAATTTAAAATAGAAATACTTTGATAACTGATTTTGTCCTTTTTGATAAATCAAAGAAACAATTTTTTTCTTTTATTTAAAATAAAATTAATAATAATAATAAACTAATATCCTAACCCTAACCTACTCAACACAATACTCCCATATTACTCTCAAACATCAACCGCTACCGGTTACCTTCACACGCTCGTCAATCGACGTCCCAAACCAACTGACGCCTCCAAGTGTTATCGCTCCATCACTTATTCACTAGTTTAGCATGCGTAGGTATAACCATTGTTTAAAATTGTGCAATATGAGTCTCGTCTTGAGGCTCGCCTCAACATAATTCCAGTGAAAAATGACTTGAGGGTTATACCTCGAGCTTTTTTATGAGGCTTGCACATCAACTTGTCTGAGGCCCCCCTTGAGGTGCGGCTCACCATATTGGCGTGAGAGGTACACCTCACCCAATTTATTTATTTATTTATTAAAATTTACATAAATCCTAAACTAAAGCCCATAACAAATCATACATTCATGCACCCCTAAGCCACAACAACTTTCTATCAACCAGAACTTCATAGTTCAATAGAAAGTTAATATATTATTATTTAACATATTATTTGGCTTGAGGGTTATACCTCGAGCTTTTTTATGAGGCTTGCACATCAACTTGTCTGAGGCCCCCCTTGAGGTGCGGCTCACCATATTGGCGTGAGAGGTACACCTCACCCAATTTATTTATTTATTTATTAAAATTTACCTAAATCCTAAACTAAAGCCCATAACAAATCATACATTCATGCACCCCTAAGCCACAACTTGCTATCAACCAGAACTTCATAGTTCAATAGAAAGTTAATATATTATTATTTAACATATTATTTGGATATTATACAAAAAATATTTTTGACTTTGAATTTCACTTTACGCATATTTAGAATTTTAAGGCTTACACCACAAAACACCCTGGGCTTAGGCCTCGCCTTACGAAAGAAAAATGTCTCCATACCTAATTGCGTATATTTTAAACCTTGGGTATAACAATGCTAACCCTAAAAACACTAAAACTCATAATGATATGATCGACGCAATGTGAGCACTCCCATGAATGCCCTTCTGGGTGTGTCAGAAAGATCCTCGGCAGCAGCATTTGCAACATTGGGATTGAATCCTGCTTGTCATACATTCAGCGCAACAAGTAGACTCTTATGCCACACCCTCTTAGGCGTGGTGGAAAGAAGCTCATCGATGGTGTTTGTGATGCAATCGGTAAACTCATAAGTGGCATGCTCGTCACTGCAAGGATAGGCTATTGCCCACCCTTTCGGGTGTGGCATGTTGAACTTCGTCAGTGGTGAGTGTGACATGATTATTTTTAATTAACACAATTTTTCTCATGCAAGTACCCTATCATGCACTTCCAGGTACGGAGGAGTGCGCGAAAGGTAGACAGTTGTCTTCACAACCGGCGAACTCCCGAATTGCTTCCGATCAAACTGTCGTAACGTCCGATCCGACTG